TTCTGCCACATAGGTTGTTTTTTGGGAAAACAATACTGTTTTGTTTGGTATCAATACTGTAAAACTGTTTTCAGCATTCATCATATTATTCAATATTCAAGATGATGCCACATCATTACACCATTGGCAGCAACAATTTATTTTTGATAAAACATCTAATTTGGCGTTGCTTCAAACTACACTTTTCCGCTTTCTAAGACATAGTCTGAAGCAATATTTTTTATGAAAAAATGGTATCAAATAAGAGGTCGTTTTCTAAAGTACTATTTTTTTTTTCTAATATGATGCCTACATAGCACCATTTTCTCAGAAAATGACATCGATGCCAAACACCCACTAAACCTTACATAGAGGCTCTAGTAGACCCATCTTCGTAGCACCAAGAATATAAGGTTAAATACACGTGAATAATATAGATAAAAATTACAAGCAGATTAAGGGTGGGGACAGAGCAAGATACAGGTGAGATCTACGTGGGAATAATGCATGAAGGGATGTGGAGTGACCGTCTCAACTACTGAATCATTCACAAAGAAAAGACCAACCGGACAAAATCTGATGAAAAGTATAGTAAATGTTTGTTTTATTGTGGACCGATTGAAATGGAACAGCTATGTGGAGACGAAGTGCTGTAGCCATGTCCGCCTATCGCTTTCCTTCTTTTACGATGACACCTGAAGAAAGTATGAAACATAGGGCTGTTCGTAACAAGACCCAAACCGATCAACCCAGTCTGATCCAATCTGAGTTAGTCGGTTTTTCTTCAGTATCAGTCGGTTTCGGGTTACAAAAAAATATAAACCGATAGTTCGGTTCGGTTTCGGTTTTCATACATGAAAATCGAAATCGAATAGACCCAAACCGACTTAGATATATATTATATATAATATATTTCAGATATTATATATATATGATATATTTCAGTTTTAATATATATTTTAGATATATATTTGTGGAAATATATATATATATATATATATATATATATATATATATTTCAGCTTTATTTCATAAATAAACATATTATATATAATTATTTTGATATATAAAATATTAGTTTTAATCCATCAAATCATTTTTAATTTTCAGGCATCCAGCCTTTGCTTTGTTAGACTTGAATCTTTTACCGTTCACACCGAGAGAATCATTCACAAAAACGACCCAAACCGACTAGGTCGGTTTTACTTAGTACTGGGTCGGTTTCGGTTTCATTTATAGGTAAATCGACCAGGTCGGGTCGGTTGGAAAAACGCCAATAAACCGACCCAACCCGACCCGTGAACAACCCTAATGAAACAGTACAATAGCAGCGGTGGGAATTGGAAATAACACAAAGCAGTTATCACTTTCACTCCTTTACCACTTATACTATTGTGCCTCCTACTGATTAAGTTTGTAGTTGCTATTTGATTTTACTTTTAAAAAGTACTTTTTCTAAGAATTGGGGCCACATATTAAGTGGTTATTAAGTGTTTTATGTGTTTGGTAAAAAGGTGGGAAAGAATGACTTTTGTTAAAAGAAATACTTTTTATAAAAGTGACCTGAAGTTGGTTTTTTTTCCAGCACTTCTTGGAGAAATACTTCTTCCAATAGAATAGGACGAACTAGTACCTGGTATTTTTTTAATGCCCAAAATACCCCCATGAGGGTTTTACCTTCCTCTCCTCTCATTCGAACATAGCGAACCAGAAAATGACCAAAGACGATGAAGATGAATTAATCTAGAATTGAGAATATTGCTTGGTATCACCAGAGGAACTAGAACTCGAATCACCGCCGCTACCATCTCCTCTGTTACACCGGTGAAGAACAGAGGATTAGACCTTGTCCTCATCTCTGCTAATGGGGACAAGGTTATCCCCATCCCCGTCCCCACAGGGATCCCCATTCCTCGTAATTTTTTATAATGTTAATCATTTTGTTTTTATTTTTTATTTTATTTAAAAAATAAAAATGAAATAATTAAAATTTACAATCCTATTATAAAATATTCAAATAGTTCAACCATATTTTTTAAAATATTAATATATAGATGTATGTGTACATATATACATATATAACATATGCATACATATATACATATATATTAGTGGGGATCCCATGGGGCGAGGAGTGCTCTCCTCGTCCCCGCCCCGTCCCCTAACAGGGATGAAAATTTCCCTATCCCCACATGAGGGGAATCCATCCCCGCCCCATTCAAGACGGATCCCCACAGAGGTCGGGGATATGGGGAAAATTTTCATCCCTATAGAGGATGAAGGATGCGTTTGAGGAGCCAAAAACAACAAATGAAGTTGATGAAGCACTTCAGATCAGGATGTATTCCAGAAAACGGTAATAAACCACTGATATATGACTAATAGGAAAGAGAAGAGAGTAGGAATGAAAGGGAAGATGGACAAAAGAAGAGGGGGAAGGAATTGGAAATGAGGTGGGGAACCGTCGCTGTGTTCTCACCTTCAAGATGAAGACGATAAACAATCCTTCAGTTTTGCAAGTTTAAATCTATATGTAAGGAAAGGGGCAGTTCCATAATTTTGTTAAAACCATGCAAAAAAATTTATGGAAATACTATTCAATATTTGTTAAATTATTATTATTGTTATTTATCAATATTATTCATTATATGTTATTATTACTATTTATGATACTATTATTATTTATCAATAATATTTATTATTTGTTGACTTATCATCATCATCATCATCATCATTATTATTATTATTATTATTTGGGTCCGCATGGCACTTACGTGTGAGTCCACATGGGTTCTCAGTTGTCATGATGTGGCGTTTTTCATTGAAATGTGTAGTATAATATGTGAAAAGCATTGTATATATGTATGAATGAAGTAAAAGCTAAAATTGTCATTTATATCAATATAGGCATTTATGGGGAAACTAGCTTACCAAACATCCCCACCTCATTAAGTGCTTAAAAATATGATAAGTGATTTGGCAAGTGAGTCACCAAACCGTCTTAAATGGTTATTAAAATAAGTACTTGTAAAAAGAACTTGTACAACAAGTACTTCTTTTAACAACCATTTGATTATCATGAACATAATTTGTTATAAGTTGATTATGTATAATGATGTTTTACCTTTGAAGTAGGCGAACCCAAATTAGCATTTTGCACCGTTTTGGATTTGGGCTTTGGGCCGGTCCATTCAAAATTTTGAATCCACCCACGTTGCAACTCTATCATTGAAAGATATATATTAAAGTTTAATTTAGATGCATTGACTTCAAAAGTTTTTTCACTAGATATTGCCTCAACGTTGGTGAACTTTTTAAAATTTCTTTTCCTAGTTGGTTTAATAGATACATATTTAACCATCTTTGAATTAAGAAAAAATGAATGTTATTAATTAAATTAATCACTTCTAAAAAGCATAATAAGTTTCTTATCTATCTATCTATATTTCCATCACTACTGTTGTATTCGTGTTTCATACTTTGATCAGGGGCTAGGCTTGTTCATGGGTCAGGTAGCTCAATGGGCCGGCCTAGCCTGACTTGATCTAAGTTGGGCTTGGATAGGATTTTATGCCTACGGGCTCGAGCTCGGGTCTAAAACATCGGGCTCGACCTTTTTTTGACCAAAAAAAGCTTGGTCCGAGCCTGACTTGATAATGTATTATATAATAAAAATATATTTTATATAATAAATATATATAGATATATAATATTATTTCTTTATTATTCTTCTCTTTTTAAGTGATAATGAGATCTTTCATTATTTTTTTAGGTTTTGAGGTCTTTTAATATAAACAAAATATTTTTTTTTTCAAATTTCTGACCAGGCTTGGGCTCAGGCCCGGGTATTAAGCTTTATATGAGAACCGAGCTCAGGCTCAAAACATAGGCCCGATGGTCAGGCCAGGCTTAGGCTCAGGCCTAAACATATTCTGTTAATAACTTAATATAAAGGCAAAACCCGGCCATGAACAAATCATCGTAAAGGACTCCGGATCTCCTACCCACAAGAACTCTACCCATGCCTACCCACAATACACTACCCCCGTGAATTGAAACATCTCGCTGAGATCCGGACTCATCGTAAAGATGTACTATCCCCCTCAATTTACATCAGAGAAGGGAAAGAAGTAAAGCGATAGGCGGACATCGCTATTACAAAAGTCTTGGTCTCCGCATAGCTGTTCCATTCCAATTGGTCCACAATAAAACAAGTATTTATTATACCTATTACCTTTCATCAGATTTCGTCCAGTTGGTCTTATTTTTGTGAATGATTCAGTACTCAGTAGTTGAGAGGGTCATTCCACATCCCTTTGCCCACGTAAATCTCATGTGTATCTTGCCCCGTCCCCACCCTTAATTTGCTTGTAATTTGTATTTATATAATTCATGGCAATGGTTGGCTTGTTCTGATTTAAAAAAAAAAAAAATTTAAAATAAATAAAATAAAAAAGTCAAAAACTATTGTCTAAATTAATAGGTTAAAGCCACACTATTAGACTATCCTTATCGTCATGGTGCTACGAAGGTGGGGATTACTAATTACTTAAGGCCTGTTTGTAAGATTTCAAGTATCAATAATTCAATATGATAATGAGGTGTATTGGGCATATCTCATTCGATTTTAGGGTCACATCGACATTTGATGTAATACCCTTATTAGAGATGTCATAACTCAATTTTCATTTTGTTTTCTTCAGTAAATAAAATACAAAAGCCTTCTCTAAATTTCCTGACAATCATAAAACTTTCCTTTTAGTTTGATTTTAACAAAAACCACTTTTACAGAATTTGACAAAAACCTTCCTTCAGTTATTGACCCAAACGAAAAACAAATGAACTTACAAAATTGCCCCTGATTAATTGTGAGGGCTTATTAAAACATTTTAAAATGTCAGAATTGCCCTTACTCGGTTAATCTCTCTTTTCCACTTTGTTATAGGGATTTTTCAAATAAAAAAACCTTCATACCACTTGCAGCGGTGCCGGTGCTCGGAATATTCCATTCACCGGAGAATAGTTTCCATTTTCCAGCAATTGTTCTTCATCGGCAACTGTTATTGTCTGGTGAAATTTCTTGTGTTTCCGTTTTGAAGCCCATTTGTCGATCGGCGAGTGTTCTTCACTGAGATAAAGCTTCATTGGCTGAAAGGTTAGTGTTTCATAAGATTTCATTCAGTTTTGAGTGGATTTTTATTGGATCCAAATATTTTATTGTGTTGAATATGATTTATGCTCTTCATTTTCTTCCATGGTCGTTCTTCTAATATTGGATTCGACTAAATCATTCTTCTAATACGATTTATGCTCTTCGTTTCATAGGTTAGTGTTTCATAGGATTTTATTGGATTCAATATTCTATTGGAGTTTATTTTTTTGTTTTAATTCACTGTTGCTTTTTAAGTTTCTATTGTTTGTGTATTACAGTATTAGCTCTCACAGCCAGCATCTATATTACTCAGCATTCCAGAGTTACCCTGCTTCATAAGCTACTAACTAGCATACCTCAAGAAATGCTTTGACAAGAAAGTGAAGTCAGAAGAACTCCATCAACTGCAAAGAAAACCTGCAAGTGCCCAACAACCCCAAAGAAAGAGAGAAGGGTTAGCAACAATTTAGATACAAGCTGCTTATATCCATTATGAACAATGTAAAAGGTATAATGATTAATTGAAAGGATGATTTGTATTGACAAGACAAGTAACAGCTTAAATAGATAATAGCAGAAGCTTGAACCAAACGTATTCTGAATAAAAAATGCATGCCCATTGCAAAGCTGTAAGGATAAAGCTTTTTGCATCATTATGACTAACAGTTTACATGATAGAACCGATATTTCCAGCAATATTGGGTCAAAATTATTAGTGTAATTTATTTATGAAAATGATTATTAGTGCAATTTGAACTAGAGTAAATTTAATGGTTTTCCTTCACTAAAATAAGCAAAGTTTCACTTACAAATCTAGAGATCACAATTCACAACAGTTGTTTAAACATTGGGCCTGAACAACATAGGGAGTAAAGGAGTTTTTTGTATAAAATACTTTGTACAGAGGGCCATACTTGTATATTTTTCTTCTCAGTTAATATATTTCATACTTTACTTCTCTTAAAAAAAACAGAGGGAATGATGGCATTCTTGATGCTGTCCTAAACAATTCTAAAGGTAGCAAGGCAAGCCAGGATGGTTATCTCTGTTGCTGTTAATTTGACATTTAATACAACCATGTTTAAAAGTTTCCTGGCAGCCATCCTTTTTAATCAGAATAGGACAATGGTATCCCCATCCAGCATTCCAGAGTTTCAATTGTTTGGGTATTTAACTCTCACTTCTTCTATTTAGTAGAAATGTTTCCAGTGTACAAATACTTTACCCAACAATACTGGGACGAGTTCCTATGTACACACACTTTACCCAACAATATTGGTCTCCCACTTGCTTGATCATGTACCTTTATTGGGGATAGCCTTATGTCAATGTTGCACCCATCCAAGACCAGAGATATGCTAGTCCACAAGTCAAACAATATATGTAAAAGACCCCAATAAGTTAAGTAGATCAACCTTTACTTGAATAAGTTGCAGAGGGTAAGGCGCCCTCGGTTGGATCAAGGGTCAATCAATAAGTTGCAGATTCCTTAGCTAGAGAAGGTGGAAACCAAGAATAGCTATCCAAGCCAGCCTTGAGGGGCTAACTGTAGAGGATTTTTTTTTTCCTTTTTTACACTTTTACAAACTCAACTATTGCAGCTCTATCCTCAAGCAATAGAACATAGGAAGGTATAGGGGTGTCAATTGGACTGGATTTGGTCTAATCTGATCCAGTCAAATGTGATTCCATTACAAATTGACCAGGTCCAATCCAATCCAATGAATATTTTGGACCATTTTGGACTGGTCCAATTCAATGTCTGGACCATCCAATCTGTTCAAATTCGTTTTAATTTAGATTAGTTTCAACACAAACTTGGTTCATTGACACCTATATTATTATCTTATATCAATGGACTAGATATTGTCTTAATCCAACCCAGTCCAATATAAATTTATTACGGACAGACCATGTCCAATCCAATCTAATAAATATTTTGGTGTTTAGTTGCTTAAGTTTACTTGTTTTCACTTTTTTGTCATTGTCTCACATACTCCTTTCTAAGTAAATGGAGTCTCATATTGAACACCATGTTGATAATGAAGAGCTTGAAGTTATTCAAGATGTTGACTTAAATATGCCTAATGAACATGAAGATTATAATGAACACAGGGAAGCAATGTTTGATTTTGAGTTTAGTGAAGATGAAGATAATGATGGGGGTGATAGTGTTATTGAGGTTGATATCAATGAATAGGATACTAGGATTCAAATAGAGGATGGTAATGGCCTATCAGATTATGAACCTGTATTAGAATATGAGAGCCTGGTAGATTCAGATGATGATGATGCAAGACATGCTCTTGAGGTATCATTCAACATTGAAGTGCCTAATTTGCAAGTGGGTATGTGTTCCCAGTATAAAAGAATTTAGGGCTGCCCTCAAAGAGCACATTATTGTAAATGAGTTTCAAATCAAGTATATAAAAAAATGAAAAGTCTCATGTCACAGCTCAATGTGCATGGGAAGACTATCCATGGCATATACATGCTTCACCACTACAAGATTGTCTCACCTATTGTATTAAGTCACTTAATCCTGAGCACAATTGCTTGCATATATATCATAATAAACAAGCAACTGACACCTGGATTGCTGAAAAGATTGGAGAAAAGTTGCGCCACTTAGAAGATGAGTCCATAATTGTGGAGTTGAGACAAAAGTATGATATAGAAGTTCCAAGGAGCAAGGTATATAGAGCAATGTCAAAGGCAATGAAACAAGTTGAAGGGTGTCACAAAGCATGGATGGTTAAGTTACCTAACTACTATGAAGCAATATTGAAAGAAAACCCATGAAGTACTTCTAGAATATGTGTGGATAGGCCTACTCCCAACTCACCTCCCATTTTTCAAAGAGTGTTTGTTTGCTATGATGCAATGAAAAGAGGAGCACTGGTTGGATGTAGGAGATTGGTGGGTTTGGATGGTTGTCACTTGAAGGGGCTATACAGGGGAATTTTGCTTGTTGTTGTTTGCTTGGATGGCAATAATGGCATTTTTTGGTTGAAATTGCCATTGTTGAGGTTGAAGCTAGGCTTAGTTGGACTTGGTTTTTGCAACAACTAGAAGATTTATTGATATTACAAATGGTGGCCATGGATGGTGCTTCATGTCAAACCGACAAAAGGTTAAGTGGTTTAATTTGTTTTTTTTTTTTGTTTTGAGGTTGAAGATATGATTATGTGTTTATTAAAAATTACTTTTTTTTTTATTGAATAGGGTCTTATTGATGTTGTACATGATGTAATGCCCAATGCAAATCATAGGTTCTGTGTTCGACACATGTATTCTTATTTTAAAACAGTACACAAAGGTATTGCACTAGAAATGAATTCTAGGAGGCTGGAAGGGCATACACAGTGCAAGATTTCACTAGTGCATTGTTAAAGATGAAGGCCCTAAGCCAATCTGCATGGGAGTGGGTAAAGGACATTCCTCCAAAAACATGGAGTCGGCATGCTTTCAACCCCAGTACAAAAAGTGATGATTTGACAAATAATTGTCAGTCATTTAATAAATGGGTTATGGATGTCAGGTTCAAAGCTATTGTTCCTCTCCTAAAATACATCCGGCGTAAATGGATGAATAAAATTAAATCTAGACATGATAAAGCATTAAAGGCCACAAATGTTCTTTTACCAAAAGTTGTTAGGTTGGTTGAGAAGCAAAGACGACTTGCTAATTGTTTTTGTATAATCTTTTTTTTTTCTTTGTTTACCCACCTTATATTAATTGTTGAATTGAAGGGATTGCCAAGTCTGAGAAGTCACCAAAGAAGTCCATCCATCCATAAACAATACTTAAGCAAAAGAGTTAAAGTAAACAATATTTTTGTTATTAATATCATTTGAAATATATCCAGTAACAATTCTGTTTTGTAGGAAATCAACAGAGTTAAGTGAACATTTACTGATAGCCATACTGACATCATTTGAAATACCTTCAATAACTACACTGTTTTTGTTGTGCATGTTCCTATAACCAAGAAAAATTAAGTTATTGCTATACAAATAAGTTCTCTTGGTCTTTAGACCCACTCAATAACAATATTACAGTCCTGATGTCACATGGAAGCAAAAGAAAATTTTATGGAGCAAACAGTTTTCTCCCGGTTATGAACAAAGTTTTCTCAAGCATTTCCAGTTTTGGTCAATTTGAGCCATTTGATGGTTATTTTACAGTTAAAGTCCTTGTTTCAGCTTCACTATGGGTACCTATAGGTTTGTCTTACTTTTGAAGCAATTAGAATTTGTTTTGGGTTAATTTTTAACTCTTAATTGGAAGTAGAGTCAATTCTCCATAGGTTGGGTCTATAAATGGTCATTGCTCTGGGGTACTCAGAATTCACTTATTGATAGCCATACTTGAGCAAAAGGGTAGCACTTACTGTAATTTTCATGTTTAAGTTCCCATAAAAAATGAGTTAGTCTAACTCTTCAATCACTGATGATAGGAACATGTACAATCTCAAGCTGCACCATTGTATTTCGGATCTGTGGGGGTCCAGAATCATCAAGTTGAAAGACTTTTTAGTTTACAAGGACAGGAGAAGCTGAGCAGTCAAGACCTACACTTTTCCCAACCATGAATTGGGATTTTACAACATTTTCAAGTATATAAGTTTCTACACGAAATCATCTTGATTACTTTTTTTTTTTTGTTGTTTAGGCTACTTGTTTTTGTTTGGACTGAGAAAGAAACAAAACATTGACAGCAGGTGATGGAGATATCCATTTGAGTTTATAATATGATTTTTTATGTGATAAAAAAAGTGAAAAAGAAAAATCCTTTCGGATGTATTAGTTAGTTGTTAGTGGGTTGCTTGCTGGCCATGGCCTTAGTTTGTATTTGTATTTGGTACTTTTTATGTCTTTAATGCAACCAAAAATGCACTAATTTGAATGCATGTAAGTGCAAATAATTATGGATGAATTGGACTTGACCCAAGTAAGAAGGGCAATAGGCTTTATAAAGCCCTTGCTTGAAAAGAACTCATTTTTATGTTGCACAGTTATATCCCCAACTCGCAATGTTATTTTAATGAAAAGCACCCATTGTTGTATAATAATTGTAATGCATGGCTATGGATATTCAACATAAAAACCAATTTGGATTACTTTTGACGTAATGCATAGCTATGGATTTAATCATAAAGCAACTGAACAATAATTTTCTACGGAACTTTTGATGCAATGCTTAAAGCACCTCATATTCGAACAAGCAGTCCAAAATTCTAGAATGTTTAAATTTCCCCTCTTAAGTCCTGTGGTCCATGTTGCTAATGTCTTATCAAATGTATTAGACCAAGATTCAAATAAGATGAGATGGTGTCTTCTAATCTGTTTTGACCTGATCACAAACTATTCTGAAGAGAAACCTTCCTAAAAGAAACTTCCGATTTAAGTCAAAATTTTCTTAAACATGAACAAGTAACTATTGTTTGAACTAGAAATGGAAAATAAATTCCATGTGTAGATGATAAACCCTTTCCACTATTTGATTTCACCTTTTTAAACAATTTCTTCCGTAACTCCATTTTGGATGGTGAACTTGTGAACTGAGTTATAGTGTTACCAACCTGAAATGATTTAATTCCATGCAATGTTATAAATCATAATGCCTCTTATTATGTTCCTGAAAACTTCCCTATATAATTGTAATACTCTGTTTTCTTTTCCTTGATTTGAATTTTTTGAGCAGGTCCTCCTCTTCCATGTTTCCTACTTTCCCTTACATGTTTGGTCCATGAATAAGCTGGTTGGGATTTTTGGGACTAAGGATTGGGAATAGGCTTGAGAAGGTATATATATACCAAGTATTTTCTTATTACACCTGTTCATTTGGACTACCGAGTGACAAATTTATAGCTGATTGAGAAATCACATGTTGATTCATTCAGAAATTCACCCTTAAATCAGAGAGATGAGCATGGATAAGTAAAGTATCTTGAAGATAATAAATAAGATCTATGAAAAATATCTTTTCCAAAGAGAGGATGTGTGCAGGTGCTTGTCTAACCATGTCAGATTGGGTGGATCTCTTTATTCTGATCTTAATTAATGATGAAGGGGAAAACATTTAATCCTTATAATTTCCTTCCTAGAAGTGAAATTTATATACCAATGACTAACAATGATGCATTTAGACAGTAGAATGTTTTGGAAACCTGTGTATAGAAAATTCTAGGACCGTTTTGGCACTAGAAATATACAACACTTTGTGCTTTATGATATTTTATCATTTATATTCTCATCTCTCCTTGAACTTTTATTATTGGAAAACCAAGATTTTTTTTCTTGGTATGAGACAAAAATCTGACTCAGTTGAGTGGAGTGGCAAATCAACCCAAGTCTTGGTTTTCCATATATAACATATTACAAGTGTAAAAAATCAATAAAAAGAAGAAAAATCTGTATAAGTGGTAAAGTGGTAAAAGGGTTAGGTGCCTGAAAGGCTGAAACTATTCTTATTTCTACTTGATAAAAAAAGAGAGCAAAAGATACAAGTTCAAAAATTGTTTGCTCATCCTCAAGGGAAAACTCTTGAGAAAACTCTTGCTTTTCTTGTTAGAATGATTGATATGCACGGGTAATCATCCTGTGCAAGAAGTAAATTCACTGTAATAGTCAGAGAAAGGAGAATCCACTATAGATGATGAACCCTCATTCCCATTAGGCACAAGCTCCTTGACTATAGATGGTGACGATTGATCAGCATAGCTTCCTTGACTGTTTGGTTGAGATTGAGCGGCATGTTCTGGATGACCCCCATCATTGTGCTGGAAACACACTTTCTCGAAAGAAAGGAGTTGATGAGCTGAAAGCACCCAGATGAGCGAAAACTGTTTACAGTAGCAAGGAATTGCTTTCCCTGAGTATTTGGTTCCCAGGTCGGATAGGTGCTTTAGAAACTGCATGGAAATAATAGAAGGAAAATGAGAAACAGGGTGAGGTAGATAAAAAATAAGTACCCTCAAAGCATTTCTTGAGGTATGCTAGTTAGTAACCTATGAAGCAGGGTAACTCTGGAGTCTGGAATGCTGAGTAATATAGATGCTAGCTGTGAGAGTTAATACACAAACAATAGAAACTTAAAAAACGACAGTGAATTAAAACAAAAGAATAAACTCCAATAGAATATCGAATCCAATAAAATCCTATGAAACACTAACCTATGAAACAAAGAGCACAAATCGTATTAGAAGAACGATTTATTCAAATCCAATATTAGAAGAATGACCATGGAAGAAAGCGAAGAGCATAAATCATATTCAACACAATAAAATATTCGAATCCAATAAAAATCCACTTAAAACTGAATAAAATCCTATGAAACACCAACCTTTCAGCCAATGAAGCTTTATCTCAGTGAAGAACACTCGCTGATCAACAAATAGGCTTCAAAATGGAAACAAAAGAAATTTCACTAGACAAGAACAGTCGCCAATGAAGAACAATTGCTGGAAAATGGAAACTATTCTCCGGTGAATGGAATATTTTGAGCACCAGCAACGCTGCAAGTGGTATTAGGGTTTTTTTTTATTTGAAAAATCCCTATAACAAAGTGCAAAAGAGAGATTAACCGAGTAAGGGCAATTATGGCATTTTAAAATATTTTAATGAAGCCCTCACAATTGGTCAGGGGCAATTTTGTAAGTTCATTTGTTTTCCGTCTGGGTCAGTGACGGAAGGAAGGTTTTTGTCAAATTCTATAAAAGTCTAAGGGAGGTTTTTGTTAAAGTGAAACTAAAAGAGAGTGTTTTATGATTGTCAGAAATTTCAGGGAAGGTTTTTATATTTTACCCTTGTTTTTTTTTTTTTTTTTCCAATTTGCAAATGCATGACCTCAGAATTATGCAATATACAATTTTATTAACCATTGTCAAATGGGAGGAATCTTAATATTGGGGAGATGTAGCCCCCACCCTGCCTCAAAACCAAAGTACAAAATGCAGTCTCATCATATCAACCTAACACCAAAACAAAAGTGACCGTTGAAACTTTTTTTTTAAATGTTTCTTATGATGTTAAATGTTCAGGAAAAAAATAAAAAACCTCTCTTACACCAAAACAGCAATGACTATGAATTAAAAAGAAAACGGTAGGTTCTACCCTTTTATTGAGTTCGGATCATAGGGGACAGAAAATTTTCTATCCCATCCAATACATTTGGAACACATCATAGATCTTTTTACATTTGAAACTAACAGAGTCCCAAACCTTTAACGGCAGTCCGGACTCAAAAAGTGATGAAATGCATTTGAAATTTTGACAACACGCCCAAACTCTCAAGCCTTTCATTCCTTCCTCTATCTCGAACTCGTCTTTCTCCCTCTTCTTTTTCTTCCTCCTCTCTCACATATGGTTCCACCAGTGCCATTGACCGCCAGAGACTATTGCTACCAACCGTTGGAGATCATGTTCAACTGCTCAACCCTCTTTTTCTCTCTCTCTCTCTCTCTCTAAATTTCAAATTTTCAAGTTCTCAGAGGTGGCTGATCTCTTAGACGGTTGCTAGCTCAAAATCCATGGCAAGATAGAGACAAAATTGCTATCCCCAAGAACAAGTTATGAAGCATACCTTGTATTCAAATTGGCGAAGAGTAGAAAAGGCCTCAACTTTCTCCAGACAAAGCTGTCTGTAAGGTTTGCCAAAACTAAGGGTGGAGATATCCAGAGTTTGTATCTAGATCCCTAATTGCCTCACCAGTTGTATACTGGAGTGATTTTCAACCATGTACATAGTCGTAGGTTCACCTTGCAACCACCCATATTGTTGCCATCCATGTTACTGGGTCAACAAGAGGCACATTACCCTAGAGGAGAAGATGGATGTGAGTTATTTAACGACATAGAAGAAGGCGGGGAAGTGGATATGACTATCATGGAGGTGAAGGGTGGTCACTGGATGCCTGGTCTTATTTTCCAAGGAAAAGAGATTAGGCCTAAATAAAGTAAATAAATCATATAAGGCTTTTCTTTTGCTCTACCTTATATATACTATATATCTTTTCATTTCAATGAATGTTATATATGGAAATTGAATAAGTATGTTTTGACAAAATAAATGTAAAATTCAGCTATTTCATCTGTGCTCGTCATCCTTCTTCTTGATCCATTTGTGCTCTATGGATTCAAAAATTTCATCAAAGTTGGAACAAATTGGATGGCATCAAGCCTAAAATCCATTAAATTATTGTTGGTCAGCTTCACATCATTATACTAGAATTAAATAACATTGGCAATGTTTGATTAAAAAGATCGGTGCGGTTGTTTACTGATTTCTAATTGCCATTTAAAATCCCATATTTATAATATTACACTTCAGACTACTGCAAGGGCGAAATAAGAACCATGAGAGTTGCAGGGGTTGAGGCAGGGTTATGGAGTTGGCCAGAATACAGCACCGGCGAGGGTTGCAATAGCGAGGAGGGTTCCTATGTGGCCGGAGTACAACAACGTGTCGGTGGGGAGAGAGAAGAACCGCAAGAGAGAAACTTGAATCGGTGGCCAGAGTACAACAATGTGTCAGTGGGGAGAGAGGAGAACCGCGAGAGAGAAACTTGAATCGGCGAGGGATGGAACTATCGGCGGCTGCAGCGGCGAAGGGGCAGTGGGTGGAGAAGGGAGGGAGAAGAAGAGACGAACTTGTAGTGGTATTCGGGAATGAAAAGAGAGAGTGGGGACAAAGGGTGAGTGGGCTAAGCATATTTGATAAATAATGAAGTCCATATCGCCATTAGAAATAATTTTCCGTTAGTTTCAAATATGTTGGGTGAAGAAGATGTGCTCTAATAGGATTGGACGGGACAGAAAGTTTTCTATCCCTAGGGGACAAATGATCCGGACTTCCTCTTACTGCCTTCAGCACGTCCGTAATGTCACTGAAGTTTGATGGGCATCTTTGCATCATGGAACTGGAAGCTCTCATAGATAAGGTCTACTTCTATTCGATTCTCTCTTTGGGGTATCTATTCCATGAATTCATTGGAGCAGACGACGTGGAAGGGGCTATGTTTATTGGTGCAATGCACTCGTGGATTTATAGTCTCTTACACCACCTAGGATTATACCACCTATCCCAAGCCTCTATAAAGGAGGGAGGGTTTTGTCATAGATTGTTAATCATGAGGGGTAATTTGGTCCTCCAATGATATCATAACATGTGGCATTGCAGAACAGTAGAATGACATCTCAGTACCATGTAAGCACACTTTAGGAGCACTTCGAACACTTCACAACCGCCTTGATGACCTCGACACCACTCCGGTAGGCCAAACTGCAAACAACCAGACAAGACATCAGGTCGGTGTAAGAGGCAACCTGCTTCCGCCGATCTAACTCGACTTTAGTTAGTGACCTGCCTAACGTGTCGGGTAACTTCCCCCTTAAGCGGACTGTCATCTTCGACTTCCCCAGGATCACAATGCCATGTTGGAAGAGCTGATTATCACCCCACCCGCTTCGGGCACGATTGGATAAACATTACCCTCTTACGTGGAGTCCACCTCCAAGCATGAAACCACCTCCTAACCAGAGGGGCCAGAGATCCCAAACACAGTTCGTGAGGCTCACAACAGCTCGCCTATATAAAGGCATCACCTTCAACCACACAAGGTACGTGTGATTTAGCTCTCAAGCACCCTAGTTCTCTTGCATTCATGCAATCACATTCTCAGTTCGCTGCCTTAAGCATCAGAGTGCCCACCCTGAGTAAAGCAACCCGAACACTTTGATCTCTCTCTCTTGCAGCTCAACTAGGTGACTTACTCAGCCCAGTGTCTGAGCTGTCCACCAACAAGGAGAACCAAATCGCGTACTATCAATTGTAACCATTCTAAACCCACATGATTGTCATAGATTAATCATTTAAAGGAACCCAATTAATAGTAATTTTAACATGTGATAAAATGAGACAAAAGTATATTGGGATGGTTTGATGACTTGATCCGATGCATGGAAGATCATTGTAATGTGAGAAGTGATTTGTTATAAGTTGAAGGTGTTAGAAAGGAATCCCTGTAGATCTCTTACCAACAATATATGTTCAACATTCAACATGATCCAACACCACATATCTCATAAATGGTGGCTTCCAGTTTTTGGGTGGGTCCTAATTTCATGGTGTGATATGTGGCATGTGTTTTGTTCCATGGGCATTTGTTATATTATCGCCAAATCAGCATTTTTCCCATCACGTTCATTTGTACATATTGATATTCACAAAAGTGGGTTTTAATTTATTTACGCACCAACCGTTGGGGGAAGCTTTATTTTAATACTTCTCCCTAGGATCAGAACCAGGGAGTGGTAGAGGGGAGCCATGGTCCCCCCCCTCCCCCATGCCTTCAAAATTCCCATAAAACCCATTTAAATTTCAATTATATTTTGACCCCCTTGCCTATGTTTCTTAGATTTTGGCCCCCCTATCCATGTTTTCTAGGTTTTGGCCCCCTTCCAGAACAAATTCTAACTCCACCCTTGCTTCCCCCAATGTTTATTCATTGTTCTACTGATGTGGTGGGGTGCCTAGTTGTCAATAAATGGTTTATCAAGTACTTTTCTGGTTTTGAAGACAAATCAAGTAGAAAGATTTATTTGATAAATGGAAGCTATACCAAACACATACGTGGTGTTAAACCATATTGGGATTTGGGAAGGTGTTGAGTTGTGTTTTTTGCTGGAAGGAGATCCAACCGGTTTGAAAGGCTAGAGATAGACAAAAAAGGACATGTGTGATAGTGAGAAATTATTTAAGCACCAATGATTTATCAATGGATATCGCATTAAATAGAACTGATTGGTGATCTAAAGGTTCTAAAGGTTTTTCTTGCTTGTATTTTGTTGCTTCACATTTACAATATAACTAGCGGAGGGGCGCTGCTTCCCTGGGGATGGAATGGAACTGTCGACCTGTTGACCCAGTCCTTGGCCAAAAACTATTGAATCGGTCAACGACCCATTAATCTGAGCGGTCGAACCATTAACCCGTTGACCCATTCAATGGTTTTTGGTCGTTTTTTTATTTTTTTTTAATTGGGAACCATCTAGGCAACCGGTTCCGTTTTATCCTAATCTCAGTTCTTGGCCAAAAATCGTTGAATCGGTCAATGACCCATTGACTAAGGTGGTCGAACTATTGATCCATTCAATGGTTTTTTGTCTTTTTTTTATTTTTTTAAATTTGTGTTGTTAGAACGGGCCATCCGTTGGAACCAAACAGTCGAACTGTCGACCCGAAAACCGGTGGTTAGAACGGTTCCATTTTCATGTCGTATGAGTCACACGCTCGAATGACATAACATGTATAGTACTGCTTAATGGACCTCGCATACTCAATTTTTTACTTGTAATTTTTTTTTGTCATAATGGGTTGTCCATTTTTTTATTTTTTTAATTGGGAACCGTCCAGGCAACCAGTTCCATTTTACCCCAATCCCAGTCCCTGGCCAAAAACCGTTGAATCGGTCAATGACCCATTGACCCGAGTGGCCGAATCGTTAACCCGTTGACTCGTTCAATGGTTTTTGGCCATC